GTTTGCCGTTCGGTTTCCACTCGAGTGATAGCACGATGTCACCTAATGGTCTCCCAAACTTGTGTCTGATTCATCACCGTTTTCTTCAGAATATCTTAGGGCACTAGACTCTTGATAGGTTCGTAGCCATAGTTCCCTGGTGCTAACCCTCTGAACATGATCATCAGTATGGAGTTAACAAAGGAGGCAGCTGTTGATAAATGTCTGCAGCTGGCTATTATAACTGATTTTCATGAAGCACCAATTTGAAATTAAGGTTGAAAATTCGAATGTTGTCCTTTATGGTGATTGCAACATATTTTAACACAGATTTATCTCTTTACTTCCCGATAGTGCCTGACTTTGAAATCCTCCTTCATGTTGCTTGTAAGTTAAATGGTGCTGCCCAGGTCAGGCAGGTGAAAGAGCTGACCTCCTTTCACATTTCTTACGTTGATGGTGATTAGTCTTTGCTATTGTTTTTGTTGGCTAGTTATGTTTATCACCTCTGTCTTCTCCTTAATGTTCATTTGAAGTCCTCACTTAGATGCCTGACTTTTCTGCCAACTTGGTGGTTTTTGCCCATAGTTCTTGGAGTTTATGTGACACTACAGACATAAATCAATCGTGAATATAAGAACAAAAGGTTCAGTGAAGAGTCTCCTTTTGCCAGCGAATTCACTCACTTAGCTGCACAATCGAATTTATATTTAGTTATTTTGTGTATTTGTGTGTGTACACTAGGACTGTCAAACAAAAAATAAAAATTAGTTAGGGTTACTGTTTATGTCATAAAAATGTTTCAAAAATGTGATAAGTAATCAAATTTTCAGTAGGAGTGGTAAAGATTAGTACGTCCTGACTGGGATTATGTAATATGAAAGGCACCCAGAAAAATAGGAAAATGCTATGCACGAATGTGGTGTTCAGAGGAGCCTTCTGGCTAATATCCTAAAGAGGAGAATATCCAACGCCCTGAAAAGAGTATTCTCTGCTGTTACATTACGCCCACTGTTCTTCAACATCTCTAAAGATAAACTGTAACATTTGACCACTTCTATGTGTATCTACCAATTCACTTGTTCATGTGGAGTGAGCGAGATATGTAGGGGTGGTTCGATTCGTGTTTCATCTGAAAAGGTCAAAACACATTATCCCGCTTGGCTACGTTAAGGTAATATTGGATCAATAAGGAGTGCTATGCAATTGAACATATATTCAACATTGGTCACTCAATATGTGTTAGGAGAATTCATTCGAAGTCATCTACAAAAAGGTCAAAAGAAGCCTCCCGAAGACGGTAAACTTCCGTATACTTTGCATTGCTGAGTGAGGCCTTAGGGATGCGGATGGAAAACCCTAATTTATATACACAGAAGAAACTTCTACATTCTCTCATTATACCCTGAGTATAGTTCCAAGTTCTACTATTTTGTTAATAATGCTTTCTTTATTTTGGATTTTTTAATGACATCTTAGCAACATCTTTTTCTTAACCAAACCTTTATTCACTCTTTCTACGTAATACATAATTTATTTCGGACACTTGTCTCCAAGTTCTTTCATTAACATCCTATTTACCTCCTTCGGACGAAACTAGGTAGTGCAAGCAACCGTTACACAATGAATGTGGTTCTAAGCCTTGTATATAAAAAAATCTGTATGAGTACTTTACGTTTTCTTTGTAATTTTCTTCCACTCCGATTTTCCTTTTTGGGCGGCTTGCTTAAAACTTGGGCTACCGAAAAACCTCCATCAATATATTGGATATAATTTCTCTTATTCGATTTGTTAAAATCTAGTAAAATAGGACCTCTAATAGTATAGTTTACTCTGGCGACTATTTAAGACATTTACAACCTACTGATTCACGAGTTTCTAATATACATGAGAAAAAGTATTATCCTCGATGGATGGCAGCTTATCCCAACAGATAAGATGACTGTTCTTGGGTTGTATCCTTGGTTCATATAAATGTACTCCTGAACCTTTTTAAATTGATTTAAAATGCCCATTAAAATATTTTTTCAAAAGAATGGTTGCCGGACAAAGAATACTCTTTTTGATAACTTCATCATCAGGTTCTGCAGTTATATACACATACATAATAGCGGATGAATTAGTGTTATTAACAACATTAATGTTGTTTAAATGACATCAAATCAATAATAATATCAGTGGATTAAGATTCGACAAGATCAACATAACAATGCACTGAATTCCAGAAAAATTAGGAAAGATAATAATACAAATTCATCAATTTATCGTCCCTACTGAAGGCCGGCCAGGGCAGTAGTAGTGGTTGGACTTGCTTCTTCTGTACATAGAGTACCGGTTGTTTCACGTGAATCGCGATACCCTCTGCTGTTTGGTGCATGCGGTACCTCGATGTTTTTGGCAATTTATTTGCTACCCGGTAGATGATGATAGAGAAGGATTCTTCAATGCTGGCTGGCTTCGTGGTCGGTTTGTACCAGATGGGCCAATATCGAACTGTCGATGGTTTTTACGACACCTTTACTCAGCCATACTGGGAGATGTTCTTGAGCAAGCACGAAAAATCAAGTTCCTAGAGCAACGGCCAATATAACTCGCTCCACAAGCTCAGTTGAATCGGTAGATACAGTTGAAAGTGGCTAGTCTATGAACTTCATCTTTCAATCGAGGAATCACCATCGTTCGTATGGAGAACAAGACTTGTAGTTAACCAGTATTAAAAGTTCTTTGAACTGATTTTCTTAATTTCTTCGTAATTATTTCGCTTGGTATATCGCCCTTGAATTGCGGTCCTAGGTATAAAGGCTTCTTGATATTCATAAGTAAAAACACAGTTTTTTGTTCAGCGAAGAAATTTCTTTTCAACGACTTCATTTTCAAGCTGTACAGTCGTATTTATATTACAGAAAAAAGGTTATTAAGTGGCACTAAATAATTGCTCAGTCAATATACATATATGTGATAAGAATAACGATAATTAAAATGTTATAAGGGGTAGAGTTGAAGTGGATAAATTACAAAATTATTAAAGATTGTTTTATAAGTGAATTGAAATCAAAAATGTTTTAAAAATGTCAAGTGTTGTCTAAAAATTTTAAAAAATAAGAGTACGATTACGATAAGAATGAAGATGTGAAGTGAAGTGGAAAGAATTCAAGTGGTAAAATAAAATAAAGTAAAAACTAGAAAGAACATTACTATGACCAAGGTAAAGAAAGGGGTTTGACAAAACGTTTTTGATATTATTGATGCGATGTTATTTAAACAACATTAATATTGTTAATAACACTAATTCATTCGATCATAGGGAATAAAAAGACAGTTGCAGCGAAGAAAATTTTCTTTTCGACGAAGTCATCATCTAGGCTGTACATTCGTGTATTTATATCAAATGGATGGGATGGATGATACACGCTCTTTCCTCGAGGATTCGGAAGATATGCAGTGAGGAAGTGATTGAAGAAGAACTGCGTAATCTCCGAAAAACCCTGATGGAAAACGGTTTCCCGCCCAGGTTCATAGACAAGAATCTCAAACCGAAGAAGACTTCAGAACAAGTCCAATTCGTCCCAAAGAAAATACTTCTGCTCAATCTAGAATTCAAAGGTGATATCGAAGCAGAAATCCTTCGCAAACGCCTCTCCAAATCGCTGAGGAAAACATACTTCGCCGCAAGCCTACGACTGACGTTTTCCTGCAAGAAACTATTCAACCAGAACGCGAAAGACAAGCTGTCGCATTGGGCCACCTCAACATGCATATACAAGTTCACTTGCTCTTGTGGAGCTGAGTACATCGGCCGTACCATGCGCCAACTTGGAAAACGCGCTCGTGAACACTACCCAGCCTGGCTGGTAAAAGGAAAGCAAAAACGTGTAAACAGTTCAGTGACAGAACATCTGGTCAACTCAGGACATTCAGCGCCTTTCGAAAAGTCCTTCAAAGTAATATACAAGATTCAACCAAACCTATCAAAGGGAGTGAAATCAAGACATTTGGGCATAGCTGAGGCGTTAGCTATCCAAAAGCTCAAACCCACACTTTGTATCCAAAAGAAATACATCCAACCCGTGTCCCTGCCATGGCCATCGTAAACAGGTAAATTTTTTTAATAATGACCATCCCATCGCCTTTCTTATCTAAACTTCCTGTTTATTCATGTCATTTTAAGTTTTCTTAATCCCTGTCTACACTACCATATTTTCATATCCACACCTCCTGTTTATTTTGTCATTTTATTATCTCTACATATTTAATCCCTGATTGCATAAACAATTATTCATCACACTAGTTTCTTATCCAAACATCCTGTATATTTTGTTATTTTTACATTTCTAACCCCCAATCGCACAATGTCAATTTTCTTAGTTATTATGCTACTTTGTTTTAGTTTTACCCATCCCCCATGTTTATTATGGCATTCTAATTCCTAATTGTAATTTTTATTAAAACAATTATTCATCACACTAGTTTCTTATCCAAACATCCTGTATATTTTGTTATTTTTTACATTTCTAACCCCAATTGCACAATGTCAATTTTCTTAGTTTTAGTTTTACCCATCCCCCTGTTTATTATGGCATTCTAATTCCTAATTGTAATTTTTATTCAACCCCTAACCATAAATTGTTCTGGAACTTTCCCATCCATTTGATATAAATACACGAATGTACAGCCTAGATGATAACTTCGTCGAAAAGAAAATTTTCTTCGCTGCAACTGTCTTTTTATTCACTAATTCATTCATTCATTCACTATTATGGATGCATATAACTGTAGAACCTGACGAAGAGCAGGTTATCGAAAATGTGAATATTCTTTGTTCAGTAACCATTCCTTTTTTAATTGGCATTCAACAAAATCTCATCGTGTATTTCTCGAAGGAGATAAAGCAGAGATACCATACAATCAACTCCGCTGAAAATTCTCTACGTTATATGAATACTGTTCAGAATAAAGCTATTTCTTTTATTATTACTATTAGTTAATTAACTATATATCTTTTTATTACATTCAAAACTCAGGTATCCTTCAATGGCTTTTAAATATTACAATATGGGAGAAATGTTTCTCTGATAAACTACGCAGTTTCGCTGATTTATGCAGTGTAGCCAATGTCTCCGTGTTTCTATTCGCTCAAGCTAATTTCGGCTATTACATCCACGGTCATTCGCCGACTGGTTGCTCAGATGTCGATATAGGCGGGATAACACAAATCCTGTCAGTTGAAAGTGAAGGGATAGCACCAAAACGTGGCATCACCCCGGATTCTGATGATCATACCTATCGAATGGCTTTACCCTCCGGGCTGAGGGAAACATTCGATCGATTGTATTCGCCTCTGCTGAATTTAACAGTGAATATTGATAGATGGGGCAAGCAGCAAATGTCATCGTCTCAAGTGATTACAAATGAAGTTTATCAAAATATTAATCGATTTTTGAAAAGATTCATTTCACGAGTAAGTATGCCTTACACTTGGTTCATTGTTGTTTATTATTATTATTGTTCCCTTGGGTTCCTAGTGGAACATAGGGCTTCAACTACACGTCTCCACTTGATCCTGCCTTCTGCTGTACTTTTCACCTGCATCCATGTTAGTCCATACTGTTTCAACTCCTCTTCACACGATCTCCTCCATGTCACCCTTGCACTGACGTCACACTCGTCGCTTCCCTTTCGGGTTCCACTCGAGCATTGGCCTGACACGCGATGTCACCCAGCGGCCTCCTCAGCGAGTGTCTAATCCATCTCCACTTTCTCCTGCATATTTGTTGGGCGTTTGGTTCCTGTTTTGTTTCTTCCTATAGCTTCTTGTTGGTGTTCTTTCCGGCCATCTGATCTTCAGTATAGAGCCAGCGAAGACAGTTGTTGATAAAGGTCTGCAACAGGCTGTTGGAAATATTCTTTGTGACCCGCCAAGTTTCTGATCCGTATAGAAGAACTGACTGACTTGACGTTTGTATTGAAAATCCGAATCATTTTGTTGTTGGTGTTGAGTGACGAAGACTTCCAGATTGACTTCGGGTTGGTGAATGTGTTTCTCGTCTTCCCGATTCTCGATTTGACATCCTCGTCCGTTTCTCCTGTAGTTGATACAATGCTCCCTAGATAAGTGAATGAAGTAACCTCTTTCAAATCCCTCCTGTTGATAGTGATTGGCGCTGGATGTTACTGCTGTTGTTGTTTTTGGTTGGTTGGTTATTTTCATAACCTGCGTCTTGTCTATGTTCACCTGGAGTCCTGTCTTTACTGGTTCATTGTTGTGCCATGTATTTATTAGTTTTTTTTCTTTTCCAAGTTACATTACGACAGAGACCTAATGAAAACCTGGAAGTAATGGATAACTGTTTCGCCCAAACATAGGACTCTTCAGCAATACATACCGCCAACCTGACCCACCAAGGGATCGAATTGAAGAACCTCAGATTATAAGGCTAGCCGGCTGGCCATTCGACCACCGAAGCAGGATTCAATAACCTATTGGTTCTAACTCGTCGCAACCGCCAGCCAGTGTTATTAGCAAGTGTCCAGCTTAGTGAACTTCGCTGGTCAAGACTTCTTGATAGAACTCTAGGCAACTTAATCCTATCGTCAGTAGTAGTAGGTCGATATTCATGTATTCCCGGATCGACCAAGAAACTGCTTAAGTTAGAGAATCGTTGAAAAGCAAAGAGTATTAGACAGTTGTTTTGGTCCTTCTTCGGGACTCTTTGGTGGCAGTACGCACTTGTTATTATCTCTGTTGCCAGTTACAATGAAAACTCGTCCCCAACTGATATGATCTCGTCGACAATTGATATGACTAAGTGAATTTATGTGTGGGTATAATAATTCTGACGCAATAGACAACTCAAATGATATGCTAAATATGCCACGTGAATATCAAAAGACAATTTTTATTAAAAACAAAATAATTGAGCAAAGAATATCTTTTTCGATAAATTCCTCCTCTTCTGGATCTACAATTATATACGTATATGTTTATATACATAGAATATTCTAGAATAGTAGTCAATAACAATATTAGTGTGTTTTTTAAATAATATCGATTTGTAAAGTAAGATCACAATGGAATTACAGTTCATTAAAGATGCTTAAATTATAATAATGATAAAAATATAATGGCAAATAGAATATCAACTAAAATTAGGAAAATTCCACAAAAATTGAGGATTATTCGAACCTAGATGGCCAAGGTAAGGATAATGTCTTAACTAGCTTCTTTTGGATGCACAAATTAGGCTTGTTAATATGGATCCCAACAGCCAGCCTCAGCAATATTTTAGTAGTCAAACTCTTAAGGCGAAATTGAGATTTTTCGGTATGCGGTAAATGGCTCTGAAAGCATGGTTAACATCAATCTTGTGTTCCGTATCCACAAGATGAGATAGAGTGACGCTATGAATATATTTTGTTTGTCCTTTACTTAACCACACAGGGTGATGTTCGGAAATTCGACGAGAAACACGCCTAATCGTACGGCCTATGCAACTAACTGGCTCCACAGGAGCAGCTAAATTGGTAGATACACATGGAAGAGGCGAAACTGGGCAGTTTTTCTTTTACTCCCGAACGCAGCAGTAAATGCTCTTTTTACCGCATTTCTAAGGCGCTGTGTTAGTATCTCGCTGATGTTATCCCCAAGGAACTGCATTTATAAGAATAAGGTCATTTTAGGAGCTGTTGGTACTTTGGGCTGCTTTGATTTTAGATTCATATTGTTATCAATAAACTTTATTAAGGAAAAATAGGCACGTCATATTCATATATTTTTTCAAATCACATTTAAATCGGCCTAGAGCGGTGAAAAATAGATTGTCCTGATTGGTAGATTATTTGGCTAGGTCGGCGAAAAACAAATATTCTCATTGGTTGGCGACCGGACCAAGACTAAGGTAAGAAAAAGATGATAAAGTTGTACAGTCACCCGATCACACGATGAATCACAAGTTGATTCCTATGAGCAACCATGACTCAACTCACCAAGGAACGAACCTAATGTTATCAGGTTGCAAGGCGAGTTCATTGACCATTCAAACCACTGGAATAGAATTCAATAGCTTATCAGTTCTAAATTTTACCAGTTAGTGATTCAAATTTGGTGTCATTGGTGAGTCTTCGTCCTTACGTTCAAACTGGTGGACCCCACTGTTTATAAACTATCAACAGAACTTCACGCAACTTCTCATGTAGCCAGCCGTTCGTTAGCACTTGACAAATTTTAAAATGTTAGTTTTCAGGGGGTTTTATTGGTTTCATATAATCTGGAGTCTTCTGGTTTGAACCCTGTGAGGCTCAGATCACCGTTTCACTTCCAGTCATCGAGTGTTACAGCAAGAGTAGCCTGTCAATCCAAGACTGTCCTAGAGGTGTCACCACTAACATATAAATATTCATCACATTATAGATTACAATGACCGCTTCACTTATTTGGGAAGTTGCATCAGG